ATAGACTTACTTTTAAATGATACATGCTTATTGTAAATTCTATTGTATTATATCATTAGCATCTGTAATATGATGTAAATTGTGCTTTTAAGAATTTAAAAGCGCAGAAAATGAATTTATTTTACAACATTGTTAGGAAGAGAATGGCCATTTCCCCTTTCGATGCTAAATAAATGAGTTTTTAGTGCTTATCATTTTACTTAAATATGAACATATTTAACATTAAATGTCAAATTTCCATAGACTTGAAACCAGTCATAAAATAACATACTTATATGAGTCCTTAAGTGCTATTATGAGAAAGCATTTCTTTTACCTTCACATAGTTGTACTCAAAAAGAACAAATTTTCCATCAGGAGATACTGAATAGTCATGTATGGAATATTCAAATTCATCCTGCCAATAAAAGGAAAAAAGAACAATTGAAAACCCAACAGATATTATTAGGTAGAGGGTACTTTTGCAGACACATGGTTAGTGTCTTGGCACTTCTCAGTGTTAGGACAGGTGATACATTCATCCACACCATGATCATGATGTCAAGTGATGGAGATCAGTCTTGGGGAACCAGGAAGGGAAGGATAAATTGAATGAGTGAAGATGACCATGAGTATGGGGTATGGGAATATAGAGGACTTTCTCAACAGGAGGAACAGCATGTGCAAAAACCCACAAGAGAGAATGGATGTGTTTGTTTAGAGAATAGTTAAGGGTTATATGTTGCCTGAGTACAGTATAGGATGTGTTGGATGAAATGTAAGGTAAAAGGACATAAAATTAGAGCAATAACTAGGACCTAAATACAAGAAATGGAACTATGAACTACTTTTTTGCACATGGAAATCAGATCTACTTTACAATAATAATCTAGTGACATCTTGGCTGAATTGAGAGAAGAGAGCAGAGAGGTTGCCATTAGTCTTGGATTTGGGCAATACCACAATCCTACATATGTACAGAATGGAAATAGAGGTACAAGTTAGAGTACTTGCTACCCCAAATTTAAACAGGGCCTTGAAGCAAGGCTATGCAGTGGAAATGTAACTCTTGGAGATACTTGGCAGTGCAGAGGTGGACTCATTAGGTTTGTTGAATGGCTAAACATACAGCATGACAGAAAAGGCATTAAGGATGAAACTAAGATTTCTAGCTTGAGTGACTTGAATAAGAATACTATTTACCAAGATTTGGAGCTGCTTTGGGTTTGCTAGGAGAGGACAGGAGTTCACAAACTTAGCTTGGGATACTGAGCATACACATGCAGAAGCCAGCAAGCTACTAAAAATGGAAATTTGGATTTCTGAAGGAGGTTAAGGTTAAAAGTGCATATAATAGAATCAAAATCATCAAGTAGAGTGTGGCTGATACAGTGGAAGTGAATGAAATTCAGTGAAGGAGAGCATGCTAAGGTTGAAGACAGGAGAGCTAGTGAGAACAGAGTCCCAAGGAACACTTACATTTAACACTGAATTGTATAGTCAGAGGAGGAGGGTTCATCAAAAGAGGAACCAAAGCAGGGAGCATTCTAGGAGAGAAAGAGCCACTGTGCTATATGCTAAAGAGAGAGTCCAACAAGATGAATATTCATGATTCGAAAGGTTAGGAGAAAAATCCTCAGCATTTCCCCAAAGCACAAATTAATTAGTTGATGAAACATACAAATGTACTGTTCTCCAAGAAAACAGAGTTGTTTCCATATTCAGCATTGAATAGCAAGATATTGTTATCTTGTTTGTAGATATATTCATGATCTATAAGAGAGAAATAGTTCAGATCAGTATTGCAAGTTGCTATTAAACAAATTCAAAAGCTAAAAATTATGCAGCAAAAAGTTCAGATTTAAGTTCACATAAATACTAAATAAATATTTCTTAATTGGGGACATATTAAGTGAAAACCATTACACTAGCCTAATTCATTTCTTCATCAATGTTGCTAAAGTTTCAATTCACATTTAGCTTGCAAAAAAAAAAAAAATTAAAAACCAAGCTCACTGTCATGGAGTCAGTTCTGACTCATAACAATTCTATGTCGTTGTTAAGTGCCATCGAGTCAGTTCTGACTCATAATGACCCTGGATAAGGTTTCTGAAAAGCAGCTGGTGGATATGAATTACAGATCTTGTGGTTAGCAGTCCAGTGCTTATCCTACAGCACCATACCAAGACCCTACAGAACAAAGTAAAACTGCCCCATAGGGTTTCCAAGGTGGCAAACACTGTCTTTATTTCTCCTTCCAGGCTAGTGGTGAGTTCAAACTGCCAACCTTTTTGGGTAGTAGCCCAATGCTTAGTCCACCGAACCACCAGGGTCTTTTTAACTTTTTTATAGTACTTATGAAATAGGGGAGTCCTGGCATGGTGCTGTAACATCAACACTGGACTGTTAACCATAAAGTTGGCAGCTCAAATCCATCAGCTGCTCCTGAGAAATCATTCATGATGAGTCTGAACCCACTTGATGGTACTTAACACCAACAACTTCAAAGAAAAAGGAATGCTGTTGGCACACAATTAAGCGTTCAAGTGCTAGCCAAATGGTTGTTAGTTTGAAACTACCCAGAGGCTCGTCCTCTGTCACATGGAGTTACTATGAATTAAGTCAAGCCATGGCACCTAACAACGTCAAAGAAATATTAAACTTTCTTTGCCTTCTCTCTGTTTACATCCTTAAATCAAGAGCAACACTCTCCCAAGGTCTTAAAGAACAAGGATTAAAGTTCCCCACAACCAAAGTACAATGAGCGTAGACATAAAAATCTGCATCCCTCCCCCAAATTCTTACCTGAAATCCACCGTAAGGAGTAGAACTTCATTCTAAAAGTATTTTTTAAGTAGTCAGATAAAGTGTAAGTTTTGCGACTGTCAGCTGCAGCATTACCTGCTGGTTGAAAAAAAGAGCCAAATAAGTAAAATGGGATAATCAACCAAAGTGTCAGAAACAATAAATAAATGCATCTCTACAATATGTGCTGATCACAAATGCAAAACCACACAAAACGCAAGAGACACCTTGAAAAGATGTCACACAAAGTGAATGGAGAGAAAAACAACAACAACTGCATTCCACTGTTAAGGTGTAATGAGTGTGTGTTTCATCCGGTTACAATGTTGTTATTGTCATTGTTGTTGTTGTTAAGTGCCATCAAGTCGGTTCTGACCCATAGCAATCCTGTACAACGTTTACGAGGAGTAGCTGGTGAGCTTGAACCACTGGCCCTGCAGTTCAAATGGCTTTAAGTGCCATTAAATCGGTTCGGACTCACAGCAATCCTCTGAACAACTAACTGCAATACGGCCTGGTCCTACACCATCCTCACAATTGTTATCATCTTGGAGCTCATTGTTGCAGCCACTGTGTCTATCTATCTCATTGGGGGTCTTCCTCTTTTTCTGACCCCCCAGTTTACCAAACATGATGTCCTTCTCTAGGGACTGGTTCCTCCTGACAACATGTCTAAGTATGAAAGACAAAATCTTGCCATTCTTCCTTTGAAGGAGCATTCTGGCTGTACATCATCCAAGACAGATTTGTGTGATCTTCTGGCACTCCAAGATACTGTCAATATTCTTCATCAACACCATATTCAAATGCATTCATGCTTCAATGATCTTCCTTATTCATTACCCAACTTTCACAAGCATATGAGACTATTGAAAATACCATGGTTTGGGTTAAGCATAACTTAGTTCTCAAAGTGATATCTTTGTTCTTTAACGTTTTAAAGAAGTATTTTACAGCAGATTTGCCTAATACAATATGTCTTTTAATTTCTTGATTGCGGCTTCAAAGATGGTTAATTGTGGCTCCAAGTAACATGAAGTCTTTAACATCTTCAATCATTTTTTTTGTGTTATCATGATGTTGTTTATTAGTTCAGTTGTGAGGATTAAAATTTTCTGTACATTGAGGTGCAGTCCATACTAAGAGCTATAATTTTTAATCTTCATCAGTAAGTATTTCAAGTTCTCTTCACTTCCAGAAAATAAGGTTGTGTTATCTGCATATTACAAGCTGTTACTGAGTCTCTCATCATGATGCCAGATTATTCTTCATATAAACCAGTTCTCAGATTATTTGCTCAGCATACAGACTAAGTAAGAATGGTGAAAGAATGTAACCCTGACACACAACTCTCCTGATTTTAAACCATTCAGTATCCCCTTGGTTCTGTTCTAATGACTGCCTCCTTGTTTGTATTCTGGTTCCTCAGAAGCACAATTGAGTATTCTGGAATTTCCATTGTACTCAAAGTTATCCATAATCTGTTATGACCCACACAGCCAAATACCTTTGCATAGTCAATAAAGCACAGTTGACCATCTTTCTGGTATTCTCTGCTTTCAGCCAAGATCCAGCTGATGTCAGCAATGACACCCCTCATTGTACATCCTCTTCTTAATTTGCCTTGATTTTCTGGCAGCTTCTTGTCAATGTACTGCTGCAACTGATTTTTGAATTACCTTCAACAAATTTTACTTGCTTGTGATAATGATATTGTTCAATAATATCTATATTGTGTTTGGTCATCTTTCTTTGGAAGGGGCATAATCAGATGGCCAGATAGCTATAGTCCAAATTTTTTAGCACAGACTATTGAGAGCCTCCAGAGCTTCGTCAGTTAGTTGGAACTTTTAAATTTGTATTATGTCAGTTTCTGGAGCTTTGGTTTTTGCCAATGCCTTCAGTGCAGCTTGGGCTTCTTCCTTCAATACCATTGGTTCTGCATCATAACCTCTTGATCATTACCTCTCAAAGTGGTTGAACATCGACCAATTCTTTTGGGTTCAGTGGCTCTGCGAATTCCTTCTATCTTCTTTTCATGCTTCCTGAGCCATTCAGTATTTTCCCAATAGAATCTTCAATAATGCAAGTTGAAGCTTAAATTTTTTCTTCAGTTCTTTCAGCTTGAGAAAAGCTGTGTTTTTTCTTCCCTTTTGGTTTCCTAACTCCAGGTCTTTGCACATTTCATTATAATACTTGAATTTGTCTTCTCAAACTATACTTAAATTTTTTCTGTTCAGCTCATTTACTTCATCATTTCTTTCAGTTGCTTTAGTTTCTTGATATTCAAGAGAAAGTTTCAGAGTCCCTTCTGACATTAATTTGGTCTTTTCTTTCCTGTCTTTTAAATGATCTTTTTCTTTCATCAAGTATGATGTTCTTCATGTCATACCAAACTCCTCTGGTCTTTGTTAAGTAGTGTCTAATGCACCAATTATATCCTTGCAAATGACTTCTAAATTTAAGTAGAATATACCAAAGGTCAGATTTTGGAGCTCATAGACTTGCTTTAATTATTTTTCAGCTTCAGACTGGGCAATTGATGGTCTAGTCCACAGTTGGCCCCTGGCCTTGTTTTGTCAGATGATGTTGAGAGTCTCCATCATCTCTGCTTTCGCCACTCATATGTCAGTTTGTTGTACTGTGGTGGTTGTTGTGATTCTGGAAACTATGCCATGGGTATTTTAAATACCAGCAGGGTCATCCAGAGTGGACAGGTTTCAGATGAGCTTCAAGATGAAGACAAACTAGGATAAAGAAGAGACAAACTACTTCCAAATGAATAGCAGAGAACCACTTATGAATAGCAGAGAAACACTGTCAGATATAGTGCTGGAAAATGAGTCCCTCAGGTTGGAGGGCACTCAAATGCGACTGGGGAAGAGCTGCCTTCTCCAAGTAAAGTTGTCCATAATGACTCCAATTGAGTAATGCCCATGAAAGTAAAGCCCTCAGGACCTTCATTTCCTGATGGAGCACAATTCAAAATGAAAAGAAATGGCTTTAAACATCCATTAATAATTGGATTTTTATAATTATGAATTATAATTAAGAATTATGAAGTATAAATCTAGGAAAATTGGAAATTGTCAAAAACGACAAGGAATGCATAAACATTAATATTTTAGGCATTAGTGAGGTGAAATGGAATGGTATTGGCCATTTTGAATCTGACAACCACATGGTTTACTATGCCAGGAATGACAAATTGAAGAGGAATGGTGTTGCATTCATTGTCAAAAAGAACATA